TCAATCTCAAAAAACACCTGCGTGAGAACTTCAGTGAGGTTCGGAAGCAGAATTTCTAGGCCAATGGGTGCGTCTAGCATCTGTAGCACACATACATACCTTCAATAATGTTTGAGAATCTGCAAGCTTTTTTTTGAATTTTCAGGCATACTTTAGACCAGCAAATTCGATTCCCATAGGCGACACAAATTTTTGCACGGAAAAAATGATATTCTTGAACCACAGAAGAAGTTTTCGACTGAGAAGCTTACTTCCTACCTTATCCACAGTTTTCCCCGCGAAAAGAACCGCTTGAGCGCCGTCCAGAACGACGTCAAAAACGTGCATGAGCACGGTAGTTTGAAAATTCGTAACTAAGGCCAGGAAAAGACTAAGAGGCAGCAAAGCACAGGTTCTGTAGTATAGTGACCAGACTATCCATAGAAAAAGTTTCAGCTCTTGAGGAGCACTAAGCTCGAAAAAATTTAGATGCGACTCTCGCAAATTTAGATGCGATCCTAAAAAGCAAAAACTGGGATCTTTGAGCTCAAAATTTTGTAACTTACCAGAGAAGTTATAAAACAGCCTGCAATTTTATGGGGGAAAGTAGGAGGTTGGCCTCATATTATAGCAGAATTGCAGCCAACAAGCTTCAATAGCTCCGAAGAAATTTAGATGCGACCCAGATACGACCCCCCTTTCCTGATTTTGCGCTACCATACATAAAATTATAAGAAAATCCACAGTTGACAAAATAACACCAAATTTGCACTGATGTAGCGGAGCATCTTCAAAGTACAGATAAATCATATGGGCCCGTGAAAAACATTACAAAAAGATTTAGAAATTTATGATGGTCACAGCTGGTAGAGATATTTACTTTTGTCAAGTATATGAGACTTCAGGAGGGCTTCAGAAGCAAGATTTCTAGGGCAGTCGGTACATTTAGCGTTTTTATCAAATCATACATCCTTCAAAAGTGTTTTGAGCTCTTGTAAATGTTTTTTTTTGAGAATTTCTACAGATTTTTTACTTTTTTTATTCCGATTTCCACTTTTTTATAGGTTTACTGTAAAGAACATAACTAATTATCTGCTTTTTGATTCCCTTAAGCTTAGGGTATATTAGCCTAAATACCTTCTCTTACGACCCCCCCCCCCCTTAGGTACCCTCTTTACGACCCCCCGTTGTGACAGTCGCGTCACAAGCTTGACCCTGCTTACCACACCTTTCACCACGTACTTTTATGAAAGAACACTGAGCAAATTATGCTTTTTTCAAAGGCGGATAAAAAATTGTGCTGAGACACCTTCCTTGCTAACTTTGGTGTTCATCCACAGATGTTTCAATTTTTTCCTTGTCCTGAAAGTTCGTGAATACTTATAATTTTTCCTCCTCCTTTCACAAAAAGTTTTTTTAGTTTAAATAGCTTTTATGCGATTTCCGACAACATAATAGTGGTTAAATTTAATTTCACTTTGATTCTTTTCTTCTCAAACATAAATTCAATCTTATCAAGTATGCAGTAGTCCTCAGCATAATCCAAAGTTTTCGCGGCCAGGCACTTTTCTGTCGTCGTGTTTTCCCCTTAGTCAAATCACGAACGTTGAAGTCAGAGACAAATGCGAGAAGGCTCCAATCTTGGTGCCATCGTACCATTTAATTTTTATGACTTATTGGTGAGCACATTTACCAAGAAAAGTGGTCATTTGTGTGTGTACTAACTTTGTTAATTCGGAGATCTCTAGGCAAACAATGTTTCAACTCTTCTTGCTTCATCGTTGATAATTCCTGATGCTTGCTATCTGCACACTTCTCAGAAAAATGTTTTACCCATGTTACATTTCCATGTATAAACCTCCCGTAATCTCACAATGGTCGGTAATCGTCATATTGCTCCTTATATTTTTACGAAATCATAGAGCATGAAACAAAAATTTGAGAGAAGGATATTAACTAATTCAGCTCAATTTGTTTTATTGGGTTGTTTCAAAAGTTCTACCCGTTTTCGAACTTTGACTTTGATTCATCGTAACTTTTCTCAGAAATAATCTTTGCAACTGCTATAAACTGTATTGCAATTCTGCAAATCCTTGGCTATTCTGCGCACTCTTCAAGATTATTGCAGTAACAGTGGAGAAGATTTCATAGGCGAAAATTCAGGAAAATCGATAAAATCGACAAAAATAATGGACAATTTCAAAAACTAATATTGTATTCGGAATCCTCATGCTCGATTACCCCCCTGTGCAAACTCCCAGCCCCGTAGTTCAAACTTTGCAAAAACGATAAAATCGATAAAAGTAATCGATAATCCTGAAAGTTAATATTGTATTCGGAATACCCATGCTCAATTACCCCCCTGTGCAAACTCCCAGCCCCGTAGCTCAAACTTTGCAAAAAACGATAAAATCGATAAAAATAATCAACAATCCTGAAAACTAATATTCTATTCGGAATCCCCATGCTCGATTCCCCCCCCCCCCCTGTGCCAACTCCCAGCCCCGTAGCTCAAACTTTGCAAAAAAACGATAAAATCGATAAAAATAATCAACAATCCTGAATACTAATATTCTATTCGGAATCCCCATGCTCGATTCCCCCCCCCCCTGTGCCAACTCCCAGCCCCGTAGGTGAACTCTGCAAAAAAATCGATAAAATCGATATCGATTGATGACGAAAAGTAGCCTATGACACTCGACGGGGCCCGATGTGTATGTGTGCCAAGTTTGGTCCGGATCGGTTCAGAAATGGAATTTTCTATTCGGAACATGTGTACAGACAGACATACAGACATACAAACAGACATTCAGCTTTATATATAAGATTAGCTTGCTTACCCGGCTCCGCCCGACCCTGTGAAAACACTTTAATAAAGGTCTCATCCTTATCCCTGTACAGCCTTTCCCTGTGCCCACTTCTATACTTCATTTCCCGTTCCCTGTGTTGTTTTCGAAATCAGCATGCCCACTTACCCCTCATGTGCCAACTCCCAGCCCTGTAACTCAAACTTTGCAAAAAATCGATAAAATCGATAAAAGTAATGGAAGATTTCAAAACTAATATTGTATTCGTAATCAGCATGCTCGATTACCCCCCTATGCAAACTCCCAGCCCCGTAGTTCAAACTTTGCAAAAAAACGTAAAATCGATAAAAGTAATCGATGATCCTGAAAACTAATATTGTATTCGGAATCCCCATGCTCGGTTACCCCCCTGTGCTAACTCCCAACCCCGTAGGTGAACTCAGCAAAAAATCGATAAAAATCGATAAAATTGATACCGATCGATGACGAAAAGTAGCCTATGACACCCGCCGGGGCCCGAAGTATATGTGTGCCAAGTTTGGTCCGGATCGGTTCAGAAATGGAATTTTCTATTCGGAACATACGTACACACAGACAGACAGACAGACAGACATACAGACAAACGGACATTCATCTTTATATATAAGATTAAATAGTGTTGTACTTCCAGGCGGTCAAATAATGCGTAATCAATTAGCTGTTGTGGTTCGCACATAGCTTCAATCATCTCAGCAGAAATAATTTTGAGATCAAGTTGCAAAAGGTATACGGTTTTTTCATTTCGGTTGAAAACATCAAATGTAAAAGATATGAAATTATTATTGAGGACCTGGTCAGCAATATGCGAATGTTACAATATTTGGAAATGAACAACAAGGCATGCGTTCGGAATCAAATGGTTTATCTGCATTTTTCTTCCATAATAGATTCACCGCAGCCTTCTGCAAAATGACTAGGACTTCTATGATTTCCGCTGCATTCTAATTGGTCACCTTACATGCACTGCTCATTCATTAGCACAATTTTTGATTAAAGAGCAAAACTATATTCAAAGCTATTATCTTACTGCACTTCACTTTTCATCTGCTGTCGATATTATGACCTGGATGAGCTTTCATGGTACACACGATTTGGCCCATTCGCCTCAATCTCATTCTCTCATGTTCAATAATAGCCAGGATAATAGGGAATAATACGTGAAAACTGAATTATGCAATTATAAAGTGGCGTTTTAAAGCAGTTAAGATTTGTGAAGATAGTGCTATATGAAAAGCAGTAGTCTGGACGAAGTTCAATGTGATCAATCAAAGTGTGCACAGCTTCGCTTTGGTCTCACCCTTTCAAATCAGTTTTCCTATACTTATGCCTCATTTTCAATTTCATATTCACTTCCCATTTAGTGATGCCTACCATTTGTATGCAATCAAAAACTATCCTGCCTCATGATTACAAATGCATTAGCTTCTGACAGCCTTCACTAAACAGTGATTTCAGGTCAGCAAAGGTAGTCAATTTTAGATGCTTTAATCTCAAATTCATACCTTGTTAGGTACAATCTGGCTCTCATATGTACATAAGTGAATGTTGCTTGAGATTTTTACCAATGTGATTCCAAATTTCTGTTTAGATTTGATGGTTTCTTTCTTTTTTTTAATTATTGTATTACTTAGACTTTTTACTGTTTTGTAGTAGGCGCACTCTTGTGCATTTGATGACCAAATAAATCTTGCGAAGGTTTGCTACTGCAAACGGTATGATCGTTTGCATGTCGTAACTTAGCTAGTTTCAAAACATCGTTAATTTTTCCGCACTAAAGCATTACGCGTGCCTTTCTACTCCAAAGTGTGTTGCTTTCTCTGTTATTTGCAAAATAGTTCAAGTTGACATTTACAGTCTAGCATTTTCCGCTAATAAAGTGTGCTTGCGGTGCTGAAATTTTGCGGTAAAATTTGCTCATCGACAAATAGCTAAATCCCGTGCGTGCACGATCACTATGCGACTGGCGGCAAGCGCACCACATCAAGAAATCCACTAAATTGGGCATACTCAGCTTGAAACCAAGCTGAGTACAAATTTCTTTAGCAGACCTAGATATACTCTCTTGCGGGAAATTTGATAAAATCCTTCAATTCGGTGAAGCTGTAATACACACTATAATAAAGTACAGAAAAACTCTCACTTGTCTTCTTCTTTCGGAAACGAAGGTAAACTCACCTGTTCGAGTATGTAAGAAAACTGCCCAAGGAAGTTCTCCTCTTTCAGCTCGTCTACCTCCCATAACCTGAGAGTGGCAGATAAGAGGGTAGGCTGAGAATAATAGTAAAGGATGGCAATTCACATATCAGGTTGTCTCAAAAATGTTGTCCATTTTTTTGATCGATCACCAGAACTCAGAAAACGCTGGTTGGCGAGCAGCTTGGGGCATCGTTTGACTTAGATTGTATCTTCTATCTAGAAGCTACATCTTCTTCCAGTCTATGCAGTTTTTGCGATGTTACTGCCATGACTTTTTGAGCGGTTTAGCCACCGTCAATTATCTAATTTTAGAAAATGTTGTTTCTTATAAATCAAAAAGCACTGATAGCCTTTATGTAAAGCAAGCCTTTATCTAAATAGTGTTTACTTCAAATTACAAAAGTCGGTATCTGATGCTTGTGATAATTATTCATTTGGAAAAAATTCTGCAATTTAAGCACGTACAGTCCATAGAAACGCCGTTGCACAAGGCTAATTCCTTGAAGCAGTCAAATTTGAGAACAATGATATTTGATGACAACCAAGCTTTCAACCTGCATCACCTGTATCCCCGCTGATCATCGTTTTCCAGAGCGGATACTAGTGATGACTCCATTCGTCAATGTCTCGGGCGATCGTTGATTAGTGTTTACATATCGCATCAGAAACACGTGAAACGCTCTGAAGGACTTTGTAAAATTATCTGACCATCGCGTCGGCGATCTTCCTCGTTCGCGTTTGACGTCCAGTATAGTGGTATCCAATCTGTTATAGCTCTTCCACCGGTTGTCGTCAAAACGCGTTGGTTGACCGGCCCATCTTATCTTGTTCTGCTTGGCGTAGGCGCCAGCGTCCCTGATCTTCGATCGTTGACTTAAAAAAAAATATTCGTATTTCTTGCCTTACTTGCGTGAGTCGGTTCATTCCTAGCATCACTCCCTCAGCAGCACGTTCGATGACGCTGACCGTGTGTTCATCCTGCTTCCTCACTGTACATGTTTCTGACGAATACGTCAAAACGGGTTGAAGAGGTAGGCGCGGACCCGGATGTTTGGTCTTCTTCAATACGCCCTCAGTCGTCTTATATGCTCGTCTTATATGCTGCACGTTTCCTCCTGCTCCGTTCCGGAGCTAGAACGTTTATCACATTAATTCACGACCTAGTTAGGAGTAACGTGAGCATTTGATGATATTTGCTCCCGTTTAGCATGAAAGGAGCATAAGGCGCTCTTCCGTTCCTCATGAACATCGTCCTCGTTAGGATCAGCCGTAGCCCCATCTTTCCACACGCTTCATCAAACTGGGCCAGTATCACGGCCCCACGAATCGGTTTCTAGGGTTTAAAAAACGAAGTTTCCCCTAATTTTTGGAAGTTTTACGAAGCTCCCTTCGACCTATCTAATTAGGAAAAGATTTAGACGAAAGAGATTTACTAGTTTAAAAGAAAAGACGTGAGATAAAAGTGAAAATCCAGATTAGAGCTGAACTACGCATGCAAAGAGTTTGGCATTGGAGCGCGATTTTGGAGGGATAGATTTTTGACCGGGGAATCCATCCATGATAGAAAAATTCAAAACTTATGTGAAGTGCAGAAATATATGCTCCAGATAATCTCAGATCGTCTGGAGACGGACTAATTTTGTAAAAGGTAATACTTCACATATCTTTTCAAATCTTTTTGCATAATTGTTTTGCAAATAATTTTCTATGTAAACACTTCAATTTTGGTGTCATACGATTCTGTGTGCGCTGTAAACAAGCAATTTGTTTATTTTAGTCTTACTTTCAAATCACCGCACTTTTCGCCATGCACTAAGGCATGTCAATCGTGTGATGACCTGAAAAGCTTGTGTTTGGCTAAATAACGCTTATTCTTGTTGCTCGGCCGCGACCCGTCGAAAACGATATCTCCTTTGCTTTTCGCTCCAAAAACGAAGTCCAGCCTGCTTCCAGACGATCTGTGCCGGGCTCTGGCCAACATACGTTCCGCCTGCGTAATGCTTGGTGTTTTCAATCTTATATATAAAGCTGAATGTCTGTTTGTATGTCTGTCTGTCTGTACGTATGTTCCGAATAGAAAATTCCATTCCTGAACCGATCCGGACCAAACTTGGCACACATACACTACGGGCCCCGGCGCGTGTCATAGGCTACTTTTCGTCATCGATCGATATCGATTTTATCGATTTTTATCGATTTTTTTGCTGAGTTCACCTACGGGGCTGGGAGTTGGCACAGGGGGGTAATCGAGCATGGGGATTCCGAATACAATATTGGTTTTCAGGATTATCGATTACTTTTATCGATTTTATCGATTTTTTTGCAAAGTTTGAGCTACGGGGCTGGGAGTTGGCACAGGGGGGTAATCGAGCATGGGGATTCCGAATACAATATTGGTTTTCGGGATTATCGATTACTTTTATCAATTTTATCGATTTTTTGCAAAGTTTGAGCTAGGGGGCTGGGAGTTGGCACAGGGGGGGTAATCGAGCATGCTGATCACTCCCAAGGGGGGTGATCAGCATGCTCGATTACACCCCTGTGCCAAATTCCAGCCCCCTAGCTCAAATTTTCAAAAAATCGATAAAATCGATAAAAGTAATGGACGATCTTGAAAACTAATATTGTATTCGTAATCTGCATGCTCGATTACCCCCCTGTGCGAACTCCCAGCCCCGCAGGTCAAACTTTACAAAAAAATCGATAAAATCGATAAAAGTAATGGACGATCCTGAAAACTAATATTGTGTTCGTAATCAGCATGCTCGATTACCCCCCTGTGCAAAATCCCAGCCTCGCATATCAAAATTTACAAAAAATCGATAAAATCAATAAAAGTAATCGATAATTCTGAAAACTAATATTGTATTCGGAATCCCCATGCTCACTTCCCCCCCCTGTGCCAACTCCTAGCCCTGTAGGTGAACTCTGCAAAAAAATCGATAGAAATCGGTAAAATCGACATCGATCGATAACGAAAAGTGGACTGTGACACCCGCCGGGGCCCGAAGTGTATGTGTGCCAAGTTTGGTCCGGATACGGCGGAGCCGGGTAAGCCAGCTAGTACGATATTATTAACAAAGCGACAATGAAAAGTTTCATCATATAGTATCGCCTTGTCGCACACTTTTTCTCTTCACGTCGATGATGATGTTTTTGCAGGATGGTGTGTTGCTGGTTGGGAAGTCGTTATACAGCTCACGAATCATTTTGATGTACTGAGTAGGGATATTTTGATTGCTCAAGGCATCGATGACGGCTTCAGTCTCAACTGAGTCAAAGGCCTTCTTCAAGTCGATGAAGTTGAGACAGAGCGGCATCTTGTACTCCCGTGATACTTCGATGAGCCTTGACACAATGGCCTGCAGTAAATTCCCATCGAGTCGTGACGAATCACTCAGCGCGGCAAATGTCCGGCAAATGTCTTTGCTGCCGCCCTATGATAAGGGATAGGCGACGTGACCAAGGCACATGCCCGGCGTAACGCCGCAGCAACGCGGCCGGCACGACTAGCCAGCACCAGCATACCAGTATGCAGACAGTCGAGAAATAGTGGGCGTTGAGTGGAGACGCAGAGAGGTCGTGGTGTCGACACATGACTAGCGGTCGAGTACGTCCGGGGTGGTGGTGCCGTCCGCTGTCCGTAGATACACGCAAAGGATCGAAGTGTACGTCAAACACGATCAATATGAACAGCTGATGGCAGGCAATCGCGAAGCGCACCGTCACTCTTCCTTCCTACTGTTATTTCTCCCGTTATTTACTTTGGAAACTAGATAAGGCAAGCTGATTCTTGTCAACAAACATCCACAAATCTTCTCAGGACAAATTTTCTTCCTTTGATCGATTTCTAGGTTTGGCTAATTTTCGACATAAATCATAAAAATCCTTGGAGTTTATAACGTTTTGAAGTTTTTGTCTATTTTTTGTTGTTTATTGGCTGTGCATCATTTGCTTTCCTTTTATATGAAAGGAAACCATTTGGTGCAGTGGCTAATGAATTAGCAGATTCCTGTGCAGATAGAATTAGTGAAAGTATCATCAAAAACCCCTTAGTATCTTATATCCATCGAAATATAAACATTGCAAAAATGTGTCGTCTCTCATCACTTCGCAAAAGAGATTGCTGTACTTGCGACTTGTGCCCCTACGTCTCGCTGGGTCATGCAACACTGGCGCTGCGCTATATGCACTGAGGTTGTATTATCGAAGCCCTTACATGTATAATGTTACATTACAAAGTGGGATAGTAATTGTATATACAGGCCTTTCTTTTGCTTAGCACGACAGAGATTGCCTGCTAATTTGAACGTATTGGCTTGACGGCCTATCTATCTACCTTAAGCACCTTTCTCTTGTTAAGACTTTTAATAGAAACATCGTATATAGAGCAGTGGCTGCGCGCGCGGTTCACGTCGATCATTGCGAGTTCGGCGTCGGGTAATCGCTGACATTTTTGCGGCGGGAGTTCAACGCTCGTCGTGCCCAAGTTGTGACTTGTTTTGGGCGGTTATGACCGCGTCTTCTTTGAGTTGTGACGACTTTGGGGGATTACTACTGGCCAATGTATATGTGGTCTGTCGTGCTGAATCCTCTTCGAAATCCAGCTTGCTCGCACGGTTGTCCTTCCTTCAACTCTCTTCCAATCCTATTGAAAATAACTCGCGTAAAGAGGTTGTAGAATACAGACCGCAGGCAGATAAGGCGATAATTACCGATGTCACAGGGATCTCCTTTCTTACTAACACGGTCTGCTTGTCTTCCATTGTCTTGGAACCTTGCTTAATCCTGTCGGGAACGGGTGTTGTACGTTTCTTCAGTTACACGATAGCATGACGAATCTCGGAAGGAGGAACAGACAATACTTGTCCTTCTTATGGCTTGGTGGAATGTGGCCATGGCTCGTAAAGAAATCTGAGCATCAGTCGTAGATGACCTTCTACATTGACCGGGAAGCAGTTATGGTTTCGTCAGGACGACGAAGTGCGGTCATCTTTTTCTAAGTTGACGAAGTTTCGACAGGCGTTGCATATGCTGCCTCAGCGGCGTCAACCATCACTGGTACTTTCTCCTCGAGGTCTTCTATTATCGCTTCTCTGCATCGCTTCGCAAGCTCGGACGTCAGTCGGTAGCTGCCTGTGGCTCGTGCGCGTTCATGTTGGCGCATCAGCTCCGAAGTCTCCGCGGTTGGACGCCTTCTCCTACTTCTTACAAAGCAAGCTTGCTTAGTCAAAGTGGCCTTTATAAATGAGATGCTTATTAAATTGAAGGGCATAAAATGTGATTCCAAACCTGCCTTCTTATCTGCAGGACGTTATGAACGAGGAGTCATGAGCGTTTTTTGTAGTCAAAAATTGCATTTTGCATAAAACAACTTACTGAAAACTAGCTCTCAAATAATGCAACCAAATGTGATATAATTTTTATTTTAGGGTTTTGAATAAAGTGCTTTAAGGATTATCTGCTTCATTGAAGAGCTGGACAAAGTATTACGACTATACTAGTAATACTTGCACATTCAATTTTTTTGCTCCAATTAGCGCTCCTAACTCCTTTTCCATAGATGTTCTGCAGATAAGGAAGGCAGACTTGGAGTCAGCATTTTATGCACTTCAATATGGTACCCACATAACTTGCAAAATTTCTTTGAATGTCACGAAATTCCAAAAATTTCTCGATACTCCAGGAATTTCGCGAAATTGCCGAATTTTGCGACATTCACGAAAATTTTGCAAGTTAGATGGGTGGTATTGTAATTGACAGCCGGAAGTGCGAGATATGCTAGTTGAGGTGCGAGACTGACCTCATATCACCGCGACAGGTGCTGAAGGGCAAATGTTATATCATTTATATGCATTCGTAAGCTCTTTCTTTCTATAATAAGAGCGGGCTTTGAGCTCTTTCGTAAGCGGGGATCTATAAGGTAGGAAAAGTCTATTTTTGTGCATATCTTTGTGGAATGGGGACGAAGCGCCCGCATACCCGTATTTGTGTTTATATTCGAAGGAGCTTAACATTAACAAAAAAATCGGAGGTTGATTACACACGAAGCTGATCTAAGAACGGTCCCGGACTTGAAATTTTTCCGGGAATTTTATGATAGATCAAAATAAAATGATAATTTCAGGAGAATGATCAAGGCACTGGCATGGTAATAATTCGGTACAAAACTTGATGCGCTAGCAATTGGTGAAGAAAGTTGGGCAGCAGCATGAAGAAGGGGCGCTACCCTACAGCATCTGGAGGTTAATTTTCTTAATTTGAACTTTGATCTCTATATATAAACCAGTATTGATGCTGGTGGTTAGTGGTGGGTTAATAGCCCGGGCACTGGTGGTTGATATGGGAAGGTGGGCAAGAAGTGGGCGGAGACTTAATTTGGGCGAGGCCAAAAGTGGGAGGAGCTAGCGGAGAATTGGACAAAAATTGAGTGGTTTTTGATTAAATGGATGGGAAAACCCGGGAATTGATGGAGAAAAATGGAGTGTACTGGGCGGAGCTTCGATGGAGTGAGAATAGGGATACTGTAGAGTGGGGGGGGGTGCTGGGAAAAAGTGGAACTGGGGAGTTTTGGGGGGTTGCGCCGTTCGAAATCTCCAAAATGGTCAAAATTTGTGGTTCTTATAACTGCGAAAGCTCCAGATCGTGAAAAATGGTAAAAATAGGTAAAATCGATAAATTGAAGGTTCGAAATTTCAGAAATGTTGAAAATTAACACAAACCGGTTAAAATCGATATTTTTCATTTGTGGTCTCATAATCTCGTGTCTTTTATCTCATAATCTTTGTAAGGGTACAACTCAATACTCATTGCGAATAAAAGTTTTTGATTGGTATCATTCGATAGAGCATTTTTCCAATTGTTTAAACGCTAGAGAAAACGCAAAAGTCCTCTGAGTGAAAGCGAAAATGGCTAACAAATTTTGAAGAAATCTACATTTCTTTGGAATCTATTCACCGTAGTCCTACAGAAGGAAGCTATATTGATTTTTTCTTGCTCGTCACTCTTTGCCTCGGCGTAGGATTGATCAAAATATTGAGGTTCTCGTATTGACCGGAAACTTCGCTCATAGTGGTTTTTGGCACCGATCTTTACAAAAATCCTAGGTATTTTCCACCGAAAATCATAAGATTTGTATCATATATGCATTCGAACAGTCATGACTTCGGAATGTGAAATTTCTCAGCGATCTTGGCGAAGTCTGCACTCTGCGATTTTCGCCGACTTTGCCGAATTAGCCGAAATTTTTCACATTCCACTGTCATAACTGTATGGCATTGTCATTAACTGTAGAAAAGCTTATAGATCACTTCAGCATGAAGTGTTGGATGAAAAAATTCACATGGCGTTTTCAACCTTCATCTGCTAGCAGCAGATGAGGAAATTACCTTTTATCAGTTCATCAGCCAAATGCAATACCACCCACATAAGTTGCAAAGTTTCCTTGAATGTGGCGAAATTCCAAAAATTTCGGGAATTTCGCTGAAATTTACAACATTCACGGAAATTTCGCAAGTCATGTGAGTGGTATTGTACATCTCATCTGAAAAGGCCGCTTCGACCAAAGATGCTTTCTCTATTGGACTCTGAGTTTCCTTGGCACAATCGTGAAGAGTTAAGCAAACTGTTCATATTCTTCGCCAGTGTTGTCGATAACGGTATCTCTCCCATGTGCTGGATCTTGAAGAAAACAGATTACAGTTAATGGTGTTTATGAAACAGCGTTTCCTGAACTTTCTCTCCATTCCGCGGGAAGTCCTCGGCACGTGGGAGGCGATGGTCTGATTCCGTGTAGAACTTCAGAACGACAGCAAAGTCCGTCAGGCAGTACCTTTTTGTTGACGATGATGTGGTCAATATCGTTATAGTACTCTCCACCGATTGATTCCCAGGTGCAGCTTCGGAAAGGGCTTTTAAAACGAGTTTCCCTGGATAGTCCTTGTCGTCATGATAAACTCGGACAGTTTTCCTCTTTATTCGTCCTACTGTAGCCTACAGGTCCCGATGTAAATTTTTGCAGGCGATTTTTGGCTCGGATTTTGCGTTGAAATTATCGACGACAATCCAGTAGAAGGTTGGTCTTCTCTGTAACCCCTCCAACTCCACATAGGAAGCCTCGAACCCGTCTTTTCGTAGCTTGATGTCGAGGTATACGCAATGAAGACGGTAAGGTAGGAATTGATCCACATCTTGATACCCGCAAACTCCGATTCGGGTTGTGAGTTGTTCAATGAATCGATGTTCATGGCCGAACTCGCGTTGACAAGGACTCTTACTCCACCTACACTTCGACTGTCGCATGCTCTTAAAAACTGTTTCTTCTGCATTCTCAAAAGTGGCGTTCAGCGGAAGGTGTCTCCTTGTTTCGCAATCTGATGACGTTGTACTTGATTTCTCTTGTTTGCCTCAATAAATGGGTCCGATGCCAGTGCTTGTGTTGTAAGTACAGATCGTCATCAATGTCCGTCTCCTTTTCGGCAGCCTAGATCGCCTTTCAGACCTTGTCCCCATTTGCCTTACCATTGGATCTTCCAAGGTTAGAGGAGCTTTCCATATTTACACTGCGCCGTACAATTATTTTACTCGTAGGGATAGTTTAGTGGGCTCAACTCCCCCCCCCTCCCTCCTCCTTCCCCCTGAGGGTAGACGAAGCTTATTTGTTGAAGGCGACTCCGAACTTATTTCCTCACACACATACCCGGAAAATTAGCTTTTAGTGGAGGCAGGAAGTCTATCTTCCGGTGCCGCTTGCTTACCAGAGCAGGCGCCATATCGCTTTTGGTCGGCGATTACCCCTTATCCGCCATCTGGGGACGCCCCACGTAGCCTCGCGACTAAGCGGCTGTGATCCCTCTACGAGGGAGATCCGCAATCTAATCGAGCTTTACCCGCAAAAAAATTCGAAAGTTTTATAAATTTGCTACATTGGCGTGCTTCATGGCATTACAAAGATTGAAATCTTTGGGAAGATTATTGACTGAGGTCTCAAACAGCAGACCGAAGAATTAAGCGCACTACCGTGTAATCCAAAATACTTAAATCCTACCTTCTCTTTTTCAAAACACTGGAATAAAATTTTTGAAAACAGAAAGATGAGAAAACGAATGCGTGTTTAGCACATTTGAATCTTTCGAGAATATTTAATCGTTTAAAAAAACGAACAAAACTTCTTGGTTAAGCTGATAGAATCAAAAGTTCCAAGAGTGAAAGGGATCTTAAAAGCTGGCGCGCCTCAATATTTGATGAGTGAACAAACATTTCTTTGGTTTCTTTATCTCATAAAAAGGACTTTCAGTCGAAGTGGGTTTTCCGCACTAAATGCATATCATTCTCCTGGTCTTGGAGCACTGATACCAGATCCGTGTTCCTTAGCTGCTCAATGATCTTCTGGGAAAAGTTATGAGCGACGGTACCCTACAATGACACTGCACATTATAACTGAGGCGCCAAGGGAAAAGTACAGGTGTGGGCGGATGGGCGGATGCATAGCTGCGGAGACTATGGCAGAGGTGGGGAAGAGGTCCTTATGGAGCTAACCTTGTGTTTTTGCAAATTGTATTTTGTAACAGACGATTTTCGAGCAAGCAGACCCTCGTTGAAAATCGCCTGCGAATTCACAAAATACAATTTGCTAAGAACTATGGCTCCATAAAGGCGCGAACTCTTCACCACCTGCGCCATAGTCTCCGCCTATTCACCCTCCCATCCGTCCAAACCTGTACATTCCTTGGCGTCCCGAACTTATAATGTGCAGTGGTCATCGTGATTAAAACGCTGCTCATAACTTTTCTTAGAAGATCATTGAGCAGCTGAGGATACGGATCTGTACTAATGTCCTAAAACCAGGAGAATGATACGCATCACGTGTGAGAACCCCCACTTCGACTGAGGACCCTTCTCTTGTCAGATCTCGGAAGGCTTTGCTGTGGCATTATGAAGAGCGTTGCCAGATAGATGAGGAATTCTTAGTTAATGTACGACGAAAGTATGGCAGATACCTTTGCTAACTGTTTTCTCCCTACCTTTTCCTGCATAAACTCGTTTTCGTCATCGTCCTGAACGTCATTCTCATTCAACCCTTTATGGAGTTCATCATCATCAGCAGTTGAATTGTCATTCAAAGAACGTCTGTAAAATCAGTTCTCAGAAAATGCGTGGCCTTCTCTACCTGAAAGGAGCTGGGGCTTAGAAAGTTGTTTTTTACAACAAATTTTTTTTACTGTAATGCCTCAAGTTGTAAATCTAGTTCTGGAAAGGGATTCATCTTGCTAATTAGAGGAAAGGGGTTGTAATCGAAGTGATTTAGATTGTTAACGATAACACGATGGCCTTAATAAACCACCGTCAACTCAGATGGTTTGAACTCAGAGTCTCAGTTGAGACCTGCAGGGTAAACTCATGTGCGGCCTTTGACTCATGCTATAGGAATGCAACATTTCACCATAGATAAGCGTCTAAGCAGGTGTCGCACTGATTTGACCTGACTTTCGTAAACGTTCGTTTTGAGAACACAGGAATAGTGTGTAAACGACGAAACCCAGAGAAAAACACCCAACCAGGTTCTCGTGAGTGACTAGCAAAACACGTAATCCCTATATATAGGGTGAGGCAAAAGTCTGGGGGCCGACTTTGCAATGTTATGAATCACGAAACTACTGATAATTCTAATTTCAAATTTGTGTCACATAGCGCGCTATCTTTCGCTACATATCACATTTAACTTAGCTTAAAATACTTGCCATATGTTTTTGCAAGAATTGAATTTATCGAACAAATGCTACTGTAGAGCGAAAAAATTGAGAATAGTATATTCACGGTTTATTTCGTAGCTAAAGTTACTGTGAACATTCTACAACAATTTGATGCATACAATGTAGAGGAGGCTTTGCGCTATCACATCGTAATAGTTGCGTTTGCATTCCATTCTATTCATTCCATTCCAGATTGCATTCTTTCGAAAGTACAAATAAAAATTTTTGTTACCTGCGTGCCAGTGGCCATTTGTCTTCAAAAATAACTTTGAAAGCCATAGAAGCGCAGCAGGTACTGAGTTCACGGCTACATTCTTTGAATGACTCTTCTTCATAAGAACCCACTTGTATTCGATTGATGGAGCAATTTCAATACATTTTAGACTATGATTTTTTGCTCCCGTTCGCGGAATCGCTTCCAAAATTCCGGTGAGCGAGCACACTAGCCTTCACTTAGAATTTGGAAATTTTTTCGATTGCAGAAAAATTTCGCAAGGTACTATGGTGTAGCCAAAAGTTTGCTCTATCATACTGCACATTTGCTTAATGAAAGGAGCAGTTATCCTGAAAGCGTGGACGAATTCCAGACTGCCTGCGTGCCACAGCAGGCGGACTCGCCAACATTTCGAAGGGCTGCTTTGAAGCCAAAAGGGGCAAACACAAAATTTAAGAGCTGTGCTTATTTATAAAGGTTCAATCAATATGTGCAACGGACTTTTAATTTCTAGCTATTCCTTTCTGATTCTGTCCAAAAAAAAGCACTACCCCAGACTTTTGCCCCACCCTGTACATAAAGCAAAAAATCTGTTTGTCTGTGTACATTTCCCATAGTCAGGAAGGATGAGCGGTGAAGCTCACTTTGATCTGCTGGTCATCAAGACATCATAAGGACGGTAGGAGCGAACCTAGGATGAGTCGAAGTCAAAAGTAAGATAAGTTCTTGCATGAGAGGTCAAGGATAGATTGGCTCCAAACCAGGTGGAACGGGATGCCAGCTTGTATGACATAAATCTGCGGAAGAAAGCGCGCAAAATTGCACGATTTTGAAGTACTGATAAAAAGGATCAATGAACAGCTGATTACTTGAAATGGAAGAAATCAGGTCAGTTCAACCGTATTGAATGCGAACTTACTTGTTTATATCATTCTACTTCTGTTTGAAAGGATAACTTACCATGGAAGTTGAAACAAAGTGATGAAATTTCAGATTTTGTTTTGTTTATCCAGTTAGGCGATTTTTGTTATGGGCTTTTTGGTAGTGATCGCTATCAAAGACTCCCGGGTTAGCATCAAAAAAAGGTTACACTGGCATAACATGGCCGCCTCGTTATCATTGCAACATGTACCAATGACCACAATACACAAACAGTACAGCTTTCTTGAAAACGTATTCCCGTTCACATATAAAACGATCGACGTCTAAATCGATGACTCGTTGCATGCTGTCTGAGGCGCCGGAAGACTTAGGTTCCGATACTTGCGTCGGGTTAACCCATTATGCAGGATACGAGCACATTACGATATTGACTCTTACGTATGTGTAGCGTAACCATTAAAAAGAAGCCTCAAGCCTATTAGGGCATCTATCAAGCCTAGTGAAATGGTCAAACACGATAACATTGTTTCAAAAGTATTTAATTGGCCGGAAATTGATGCAGCTTCCTTACGCGATCGTTGCAGTAGCAGTTCAAAAATGCGGGAAGGAAGCATATCATTCGATAGTGCAAAGGAAACTCTACAAGACTGCATTAGAACTATCGCCAAAAGTTTGATTATGTGTAGTTTGAAAGCAAAATTCAATGACAAAAACCCAAAAATCAAATCCTCATCCAAAAATCTTCTGCGGGCCTCTAGCTTGGTCCGCATATGCTCCCTACATCAAATATTTCTATGCCCACTTATCACAGTTATTGCCTTTTCGGGTTTTTCAAGCTAAATAAGATATTTCTCGAAATATAAGTAATTGTATATTAGGTCGTTACGTAAGTCCCGTTACACTTTAACCTCTTACGGGGACAAGTCATGCACCTCATATTCTCTACAGGGCTACAGGGTACCATTCGATAGAGCAAAGCAAGCTCTACAATGAATAGCGAATGTCTAAAAACATAGCTACTCATTTTCGAAACAAAGTTAAACATCTTTGGGTTGTTTCAGACTGCCGCACTGACTGCAGCAGACTGCAGCAGACTGCAGCAGACTGCAGCTGACTGCACTGACTGCAGCTAACGCAGCTGACCGCAATGACCACACTGATTGCACCGGTCGCAGCCTCTTCTTTTGAAAGAAAAAACAACCGCAATTATCAAAACAGCGTGATTCGCGCATAAGAAGATCATAAGTTCCATCAGAATTCTTCTCATTCAATTTTTGACGATAGTTTTCTTTGGTATGTACGTATTTGTTCTAATTCTTCCTATCATTGCATATTCCTGTTTTGTAACATTGTAAACCTTGTTGTCTTTTGCTTTTACGTATATATTGTTGTTGTTTGTTTGAAGCACAACTATTTATCCTCTCCGCCTGCAGGCTTCAGCCGCTGCGGTCGTTGCGGTCAGCGCGGTCGGCTGGTCTGCTGCAGTCTGCTGCAATCAGTGCAGTCAGCTGCAGTCTGCTGCAGTCTGCTGCGGTCAATGCAGACTGCTGCGGTCAATGCAGACTGCTGCAGTCAGTGCGGCAGTATGAAACAACCCTTTAAACGACCATTTTCTGAGTGACCTAGTGTTTAAAAACCTCGGAGTTCACTAAAACTCGCCCACAGAATGCCAATCTGCTGAGCCATTGCGCAAACGCAGTGGCTAAGCACATTAACAACTTTGGGGTATTTGTCGGTCTTAACTCCCAGGATAAATTGAGTCCAAATCTGTGCACTGAAATTTTTTGAGACATCAATAAGTCGATTTCTGAACGTGATTTGCTGTTTACGGAAAAAGAAAGCCGCTCCTTTGTAGAACGACTGGCTGCTGGGGCCAATAAAAAAATGAATCACTGTATTCAAGACATAATTCCTTTTTCTTTTGAACAGTTAATCTCCCAATGCTGTTTTCACAATCTTCATATTTATATTTGACTTTCATATTCAAAATACATTTTAAGAATTTCTAGAGACTTTCTATAACCAGCAATTAGCGTAAATCTTTTGCTGATCATTGCATTTTTCAAAATCCCTATTGTTTTGAAAATTTCAAATATATTATTCAAAGTGACTATGTTTTATCTTCGCTCTTTTCCACTTTTGTAGAAGGAAGAGTGGTAAAGATTTAAGTATCAATTTATGCAACATTTCCTCCTTTTTCCAACAGTCATCCCTTCTCCGCAATAAATGCGAAAATTGCAAAATTGCTGCACATCTCAACTCTACTTGTGCGCACCACTGTACTCTAAATTTCTAAATCTCCATTTTCTTAAGCGATTGCTCAACCATTTTGTGAAGTACAGCTTTGAAAGCCAGTACTGATGAAGATTCTGCAGCGTCCGGTGACATAATCATTCAGCATTCTGAAAAGAAACCCGAAAAAGGGAAAACTTTCTTCAATTGCAAAAGGCTTGCCGTATCTGCCCTTATCAAAATTCCTTCAAAAGTCTCAATCAAGAGCGAATATTGTACAAAAAGCGTAACTTCGGCAAAATCTCAGCAATTTTCGGAAGGTCGCATTGAGAACATAGTTTTTGGAAGAAAACTAAATCTGCTTCAGATAAACTCAAAGTATTTTGTATTCTTCTTGAAAACAAGTGGGTGTTGACAGAACTTTTGCGCAGACCTAGTGACTACATTGATCAACCTGCAAACCTAGAAAGTGAGAATACCACTAGTCACTCAAAATGGTGTATTCTCCTCAATTTTTAAGCCTACGAATTTTTACATTAGTGCTTTGTAACATTCAATTAATAAAATATAATAACTAATAAAATATAATAGCTACTTATCGACGAATACTATTTTATCAGTATGACAGCGCACAGCGACTGAAATATTCTTTCACAGAGTTGCGTAAATTTTACTTACAGGAAAAAATTTTAACCAATTTTACTTACTTTACTTTCAACAAGTAATGATTTTGAATATTGATAAGATTGTAGTCATGGGTCAAAGAGTTTTCTTTCTTATTGAGACAGAAATCTAAGTAAAGCTTAACCTATTTTAAACGCAGAAACAATGATGCTTTTCTAAGCTACAAAAAGTAAGTAGAAAGTAAAGTAAAATTAAGCATTTTTCTCCTGAGTAAAATTTATACCCTATTTTCAGGTGTATAAGCCGCACCCTTTTCACTCTATAGGCGAACACGCCAAAAGACTGACTGTCATCATGGAGCGCGTTAAGTGAGAGCAGTATGCGATAAGGCGACCGCTTCGCGAGACATATGCGCGGCGGCACGCCTGGGTCTGCTCGCGTTTAGAGCAAAAAGGGTGCTATTTATACACCTGAAAATAGGGTAACTCAAGAAAGCTTTTACCTGTATCTTGTTCCAAATAGACTTCGTGCGTGGTTTCTTATTCGTGTTATGCCGCAGTTTCGGGCATCTAAATTATCACTTATGCAGCCATTCGACAAGCTCTTCATGCTTACCGTACACAACATTTTGTCCTATCGTGAAGTGGAAAATGATCAGAGAACAAACATAGCCTTTCATAGCGCTACTTCCTGTAGGAAATTATCTTTAGAATCAAGGTTAAGTTTTGCATCTTCCATGGATTTCCAAATTTTCCGCATAGTGCATTCCTGCTTTCGCTTTATATAAGGCACTTTGTGAGAATGTTGCTGCTCTGTTACTATTTAGGTGGCTGAAATATTGATGTTGCTTATTTTTCCATTCTACCATGGAAAAATAAGCAAAATTCCTTCGACAGCCTTATATCTCCTTGTATGAGTTAGGGCATGAGCCCGTTAGTGTTCTTTTTTTGCAAAATAGGTAGATCTACTGCAACAAACCTGTGACTTAATTATACATCGAATATAGCTGGAGTACAGCATATGCTCACCCAATTGTCCGTTGTTTTGTTTTTGCTACCAAAAAAAATGTGTGATTGTTAGCTCAGCGAGCACTAAAGTAAAATGCAGCGTATGCGCATCCACTTGTTTGTTGTTGTTTTTGCTATCACAGTGATGTGTATAATTGACTGCACTTAATCGACCGGGCTGAACGCAAGCGAGCGAGTCTCTTGCGGGCCAACATTGGTATTCGCGCGCATGAGTTCCCATAGCACCAGTACTGGGCAGCCGCGTTGCAGGCACGCTCGCTTGCTTTCAGCCTACAGCTACTCGGGCAGTCTGCAGCCGACTTTACATGTTAGCTCAGATGCAAGCACTTTACGTATTTTTGGCGTATGAATAAAAACTCTGTGCCGTATAGTATGAATAGCTGGCAATGTGCTCTTCAAGCAAGTCGCATCGCTTGCTTACCGCTTTTACACATCTTTATTCTTACACAAATCACACTCATTTGCGCCCTTATTTTCTCCTATTCTGCACATCACTGTTATGTGAAGCTTTTATTTCATCCTAGGAACGCTTACTCTGTCACCCGTAACTGCTTTTTTTATCCTCTACGTAACTGGTTATCTCGACTCAAGTCATAATTACACAAATTTACGCGTACCCCGTGCTCAATCCTTTTGTTACAGTTTCAGATTGTCATATAATTGAAATGTCTTTCCAATGAAATGGAACTACTAAACGTTTACCTAAAGATTGCTGAGAAGGGCCGTTTGCTTTGCCGTTAAGATGTCAAATTACCTAAATTAACGATCTATCTGCGCGTTCTTACACATCGATTTCAAAAGTCTGCAAACATCAGAAATGCTCGATTTTGCTAGAAAAGCTTTTATAATTGACCCTGAGAACTTATTATACCAGCCCCACCAGCGTTATAGTAATCGAAGTAGGCTTCAAACTTCCGTTTTTTGTGTAGAAAAATGTTCGAAAGAAACAATTTGAGGCCTCTAGAATTATTTTTCAATAACTGCAGTGATTTTTCTACTGTGAAACCTTTGTCATTTGATATTACTGCTCATTTTTCGTCTCTGCAACGTTTCAAAGTAGGAATGCATTATGACAAAAACATGCTTCATCATGAGCATTAACCAGCATTTTAGAAAAGGGAACCAAAATAAAAAGACCTAACATCTATTGTGCAAACATGGAGGCTTCTAACTCCGATCTTGCAATGTAAATGAAAATTTCGATAGGGACCATTGCTAGCCTCTTCATAAAAGCTCACACCAATGGGGAACAATCTCGAATTGTACTTGATCGGCGGCTGCCTAACTATTAGGGTGTCCTACCGTTTTTACCTCAAACATCAGCATTTTTCGAGAACTGAGGCACCTTCAACATTTTCAAATACATGATCGTCTGCATGTGTAGGGGGCAGGATCGCGAGAGTCGACGTGCGTACGGCCATTGCACCGCGCGCGTCAGATGTGCGTCCGACGACTCAAGTAGGTGCCAGGCTTATCCTGTTGAACAGGTTCCTTCAGTTCACCACCTTTGCTGTTGGACAGTGTAATGATTTGACCTATGAACCCAACGAACCGGTTGAAGCGGATAAGTCTGGCACCTGCCTTAGTGACATCGCGTCGGACGTGCGGACGTCCGACTTTTGAAATCCTGCAGGCCCCTATAAGAGGTATATGACCATGTGTGTGAGAGAGCTCAGGACTTTTAAGGGCGGAGTTTGCCATCTTATCTCATTCATATTTTTCTTTATTTCTAACCATGGAAAAAATTCGTAAAGTATGCAGTCGAATGTGCGATGTGTCAAGCATATGTCAGAGTAAATTTAGATTTTTTTAGATACTTTGGGAAGAAAATAATTTTTGTCAGAAAAGTTCGTTTTTGACTACTACCATTCAGCTCAAAACTTTACGTGGATCATGATCTACGCAGACTTTTGAAAGCCATCTTGTAGAGCTTGCTTTGTCCTATCAATGGTTACTCAAGCCGCATCAGATGAAGGATAGATACAAAAAACGACCGTCGAAGTAAAAACGGTAAATAATTATAGGACAACCTAATAGATGGACTAGACGAGTTTATGAGATATTAGTCTCGTGGGTAAAAACGATATCGACCGATGACGAAAAATAGCCTACGACACTCGTCCCGCCCCGAAGTGTATGTGTGCAGAGGTCCGGATCGGTCCAAAAATAAGAATTTGTATTCGTGGCACACGTATATATATTGGTCCGAAATTTCTGTCCCCCATTTTTCAAAAATTCATAACTTCCTCCTATCATGATGTTTTTGCATGGCTAAAATTTGTAAAAAAGAGCAATTCATGCACTTTCTAAAACTACGTTGGCTGCTATCTACTACACCCTGAGTGCAGAGATAAAATTGAAAAAAGGAAATCACTTCAATTTCGGAATTTTCAAGCAAGCCCGTTAAAAAATTGAAAAGTGTGCCATAAAATCCAAAACAGCCACTGTCCTAGGTTTCTTGATCTCATCTTTTCAGCTGATCAAAATTCGCGCTGACGAGCTTTTTAAAATGATTTCTAAGAAAAAATGCCAAAAAATCAGTCTTCTAAGGAAAATGGTTTTTTGACATTTTTTTGAAAAAATTATAATTTTTCGAAGAACAGCTAGATCTGCGCGAACTTTGCTTAGCCAGATAGAGGAGATAAAGTAGTCTAGGACAATGGTTGTTTCCGATTTTATGGCGCAGATTTGGATTTTTTAACGGGCTTTCTTAAAAATTCCAAACTTGATTTTATTTCTCCAATTTTATCTCTGCACTCAGAGTGTAGTAGATAGCAGCCAACGTAGTTTTAGAAAGTACATAAATTGCTCTTTCTAATAAGGTTTCTATGCAAAAACATCATGTTTGGAGGAAGTTATGATTTTTTTGAAAATGGTGGGACAGAATTTTCGGACCAACCTAATATATTAGGTCATTCCGAAAAATTTCGCTTTCTTCAAAGGAGCCCCACATCTGATGGAACGAAGTTTTCCGAGAGATCTTGGTAGCATTCGATGCAGCATTTCATCCTCGTTCTAACGGTTATGAAGCAATTGCAGCACAATTAATGAACTCTCGGAAAATCTCCAAAAGCCGACCCATGGTTTTTGTGATAGTCAAGTTCCACAATTTTTCTAAATTTTTATATCTATCCTCCAAAGGAGTCCAAGTAACGATTCGATAGAGCAAACCCTACAGGATACAAAACCATTTTTTCTCTTTCACATCCTCAAAAATTTTTGAAAGAATTTTGATTGATGCTACCAATTTCCATTTTTGGTCAACTCAAATATCGTAGAACATTAAACGATAAGCAGCTCGAGTGTCATTCTATGCAGCTTGTTCTCCTCTTTTTAATGAATGCTTTTTGTTTTCCCCTTGTGGTTTTTTCGGGGATAAATAATCATAGTTCACATTTTCGAACGCGTACCGGGCTGTACCCGAAAAAATCGAAGATAGATATTTCGATTCCGTAAACCCTCATTCGCCTTAAGAAATTAGTGTTAAATCATAATACCATTTTGAAAGTTTTGAATTTCGAAGATATATCGGTGTTTGATGCGAATGTGACTGACGTAGGCCTGTCAAAATTCGATGGTTATGATAATAAATCTTTTAAGAAATTACGGCAAGATATAAAAACGAGGAAAAAGTTATGCCGTATCCTATAAGGTTTGCTCTATCGAAATGTAAGTTGGACTCCTTCAGAGGGTTGATGGAAATATTTTAAAAAATTGTGAAACTTGAGCATCTCAAAAAGCATGGATCGCAGATTTTTGTAGTTTTTCAAAGCTCATTGAATTGTGCTGCAATAGTTTTATAACCACTAGAAAGAGGATGAAATGCTGCATCGAATGCTACCAAGACCTTTTAGATATCTTTGTTCCATCATATGTAGCGTCCGTCTGTATAAAGCGAAATTACTTTCGGAATGACCTAATATTAGGTTGAACCGAAAGTTCTATCGCACCATTTTCAAAAACTCATAACTTCTTTCCGTCACAACAATTTTGCGCATTTCAAATTTTGTCCGTAAAGCATGTAGATTCCAAAAGTTCCCTGGGCATTTTCCAACATGCTCAGGTTGCAGAGATAAAAATGAAAGAACGAGATCATCCGCAATTCGGAATTTTTAAGCAAAAATTCTGAAAATCTAGAGACTGTGCGTTAAAATCCAGAACAGCTGTCATCCTAAGGTTTCTTATATTTTATTACTAATTGAGTCAAGTTTGTGCTGATCAAGCTCTTCTTTCAGAAGTTATGATTTTTTTAAATACCGAAAAATCGATTTCTTAAAAATTCTTAGGAAATTGATTTTTCGGCATTTTTTTTCAGAAAATCATAACTTTTGAAAGACCTCGATCAGCACAAACTTGACTTAGTTAGTAATAAAATACAAGAAAACTTAGGATGACAGCTGTTTTGGATTTTCTTGCACAGTATCTAATAGATTTCTAGAATTTTTGCTTAAAAATTCCGAATTTCGGATGATCTCGTTCTTTCATTTTTATCTCTACAACTTGATCATGTTGGAAAGTCCCGGGGGAATTTTGGAACCACATGCTGCACGCTTTCAGACAAACTTTTAGATGCGCAAAATTGTTGTAACGAAAAGAAGTTATGATTTTTTTGAAAATGTGCTACGAAACTTTCGGTTAAGCTAATATATCAGGTTGGTCCGAAAGTTCTTGCGCATCATTTTGAAAAAATCATAACTTTCTTGCCACTCGATGGATTTCCTCAAAATTGCTTTTTTTTGATAGAAATGTCCATGTTCTTTACAGCTGTACCTCCGCCATGAATTCCTTTGAGAAATTTCGAGAGTTGCACGCAGTTGAAGGAAATCAATCAAGATTGACATTTTTCGAGCTGGGTCACGAAAAATTCTGGAAGTATTTTTATTTGATAAAGAAAATTATGCTTATTGAAATGGTACCTTTGCCTTGAGTTAAAACGGAAAAGATCGAGAGTTAGGAGCAAATAAAGAAAATCACTTCAGTTTTGCAATTGTTGAGCATGCTCAAAAATCCAGAAATCTCAACTAATCCAGCTTTTCTTTGAAAAATTATGATTTTCAAAAATACCAAAAAGGGACCTGATTTTTTCGCATTTTTTCGACTATCAATTTTTACATTAAATTTCGATCAGCACAGAATATTTCTAACCAAAAAGAAAAGGCGAAAGTTTATGACACTGAGGGGCTTGCTTAAAATTATCAAACTCAAGTGATCTCTTTTCTCCATTTTCATCTTTGCTCAGAGCTTAGTAGAGAGTAAGCAAAGCATTAGAAAGCACTAGATCGTTAAGGAGTTCGTGTCGATTTCCAGGGCCCATCCCAGTTGAATGATAGGCAAACGCTGCAAGAAGTGATCGAGGCCAAAAAATTGCCTTTTTTAATAATAATGTTTTTATTCCAAGACCTTTGACCCCTTGAACAAAAATCAGGATCTCCAACACAGTTTTACCTACCCTACCCTTAGCTATTTTCAATGGTTTCAGTTAGGACTTTTGGAAGAGTTTCAGTGAGGGGGTGAGCAAAACAGAGTTTTTGTGCGTCTACGTGGCCTTTCCAACTTTCTAAATTTATTCTTAAGCTATAGAATTCTGCATTTGGTCATCTTAAATCACAGAACATCAAATGGCGAGCAACTATTATGTTATTCAATTAGGTTCTCCTCTTTCCAACATCCTTGTGCCCTTGTCCATATTTTATGAGGGCTTCAATGATGAAA